AGTTCTGCCTTGGAAACCCTCAGGGCACTGCCAATCCCGCTCCCTGGGCATTCCAGGGCCCGGCTTCTCAAAGGGCGGGCCTCAAAAAATGACGTTGCAGGAAATATCGGGTGTAAGGTTTCGTTGGTGAAGGGCTTTAGGGTGTAGGATGTAGGCATCTGCGATTTCAGGATTTAGATTCTAGGATTGAGGGTTCGTGATGTGCAAGACACTGGTCGGATCGATTTCCTACCAGAGCCCTGTCCGTCCAAGGCATTCGGCCTAAGGGTAAATTAATGGATTTTTGTTGAAACTTATTGCTGGGATCTTCTTAAGCAGATTGCTCCTGCAAGTACTGAAGAACAGGCAAAGACTGCAAAAGCAAAGAACCTGCCATTCCTGTGGATGCTTCAAGGGTGCTCTAAATGTAGGAACGTGATTGAGAAACCCTGGTCCTATAACCCCATCATTTTAGGATTCACATATTTATATATATATATACATAGTATCATGAAGCCAACTCAAGACTCAGGTTTTCTTCATCAGGCTCCTACATGAGCCGCGAAGCCAGGAACTTGTACAGCGACCAAGCTCGGATCAAAGCGTCGACAGCAGTTTCACGTAGGGGCCTAAATACATACCAATACTATCTTGGGTGTTTGACAATAAGGCCCCGTACTTATGAGTTGAGTTGGGGCTTGTTGCTAAATGTAAGAACCTGATTAAGATAACCTGGGTCTTTATTCGGGTTCTCTACTACAAATCCTAATATCTGAAAGTTATAGGGCCAGGGCTTCTTAATCAGGCTGCTTCATGAGCGCGCGAACTGCAATATATATATATATATGTTTTCTGCTTTTTCACATTTAGATACTACTTCAATGTTGAAATATGTGAACGAGGCAGCTGCCGAATATGGTGTGGCTCTTGCCAGAGCCGCAGGTTCCTGCAGCGGCGATGAGGACCTCAAAGCTATTCTGGAAGTTCCACGACTTCGGAGGCAGGCTTCGGGTTTAGGGTTTAGGGCGTCGGGTTTGGGGTTTGAGGATTCGCGCTTCGGATTTAGGGCTTAGGGTTCAGGGTTTCGGTTTCGGCTCCCTTATAGTCCCTTGTTTCGTCATAGTCATCGACTAGTGTGCCCAAAATCCCTTGCATCGGTCAGCCCGCAACGCAAGGGCTTTGGGGCTACGGCTCCTAAGTACGTAGGTGGGTCTGAAAGACGTCTGGCGCATCATCCGGTTCCTCCGTATGGGCGACTCTTGAGACTTGTGAAGTCTGGAAATCCGGGTGGTGTGCAATCCTACTGTGATTCTTGCTGCGAAAACCCTGTACGACTCAAAACCCATGAGCTTCCATCGTTCAAAAGTTAATGTCACGTCTTCAGAGGAAACTATTACCAGTCGCAAACCCTAAAAAACTGAAGTCCTGAATCCTAAACCTCGAGCCCTGAGCGGCCAAGCTAGAAGTGCTCGGGTTTAGGATTCATTTTCAGATGTCTGCACCTGCTGTATACCGCTGAAGTCCATCGCAACCCGAAGCATCAACACAAAGAGAAGACACCCCGAGGCAAATGCGTTGTAGCCATCGATCGCCGACTGCACAAGACCTTGCACCTGGAGCGACTCAGAGATGTCGAGCCTTATAATCGACTACAGTGCACTGTACTATACGACGAACTACAATACAATATGATATTCCATGGTGCACTGGGATATGCTCTGATATGCTTTTGACAAATCATGATCTACTGCGATATACACAAAGTCTAAACCTTGTGAGCCACCTTATCAAAACAGTATAGGGGCCTTGATAATTACAGTCGGGCTTTGGGGTACATTCTACTATTCTCGTACCAAGGAACCCTGAGGAATACTGCACGTAGGCATTTAGGCCCCTATCTTACCCTCAACCCTAGCAGCTAGACCCGAGCAGCTCCAGGCAAACGTAAGCCTCCAAGCCCTCTGTTGGTTTGGACCTGGGGTGAAGCAGAACAGAGGCTATAGCTATCATCACGCCCCACAATGAATCCGAACTATGCCGTGTCTCCCCACGAACCCTAAATCCACCAAAACCGTAAAAGAAAAAAACTCTCAGCCCGGAAACCTAAACCCCTTAACTCAAAACCCCAAGCCCAAAACCCAAAACCTTAACCCCCAAAAAATCCGAGACCACAAAACCCTGACCCCAAAACCCCAAAGCCCTGGGCGCCCAACTTCTCCAAAGACCTCCTCCTGGCCAACTTTTGGGCCAAGCACACGGCCGTTGAAGCGGAACATATTTGCGGCCTCAAAGATCAGCTGGGGCACGGAGAGGGTTTAGCGAGTTCAAGGTTTTAGGGGTTTTGAGGTTTTTTGTTTGGGGGTTAGGGTCTTGAGGTTTTGGGGTTAGGGTTGTCGAGGTTTGGGGTTAGGGTTTTGGGGATTGGGTTTAGGATTAAGGGGGTCCAGTGTCTTGGGGTTGAGAGCTTAAGTTAGGGCTAGTCAGTATGCGTGTAGCTGCCTGTGTCGCAGTGTATGGTACTCGTATACGAAGGGAGACAGCGGGATCCTTTAGCAAGGGAATGGACCCTTGGAAGGAATTGAAACCTTGCAGCTCGAAGACTGGTAGTTGAGGGATTGGGATCTTAAGGGCTCGGCTTGAGATACATGGCATCTCTGATGGCATGACGTGCAGCCTGAGGTTTTCAAACTTCAGATCCTGGCGTCGTAGAAGCTGTTTCCTTCTCCAGCATGATTGTGGTTCAGGCAAAACCAACGAACTTTGTGTTTTTCCACTTCACAGCTTGTCAGACGCCAAATTAGGACCTAACACAGCCTCGTCATCCGGGAACTCCCGTTACAGTACACAGCTCGAATCTCGCCCAAACGGTCCGAGCCCTGCAGCTCCGGAAACCAAAGGCGCCCCCTCGGCCCAGTAGTTGTGTTAACCGTGGCAGCCCGGAGTTCCTTTGGCGTCCCCTCTGCTAAGGCAATCGTCCCAAAAGAGTCTAGGAACATCGAAAGCCTGCACCGTAATCTCAATCTTTACATGTACACCGCAGAAACCACTGTTTTCCGGGGCCTAAGTAGTTACAAATCTTGGCTTCCATGTGATGATTATCGTATGATACAATTCTAATGATTAAGGCCCCTATATTAGGAGAGAGCTTGCTCTGGCCTGTGCCACTTTGGACTTCGAGTTTGATCTCCTGGAGGAGTTGGAAGGAACGCTGCCGCTTGCTGCCCTCAGCCGGCTCAGATCTGGACACCGAGTTTCGGGCTTTTAGGGCATTTTAAGGCTGAAAAACCTCACTTTCGGTGTAAGGAGTAATGTCTATATCTTTAGCTTTGTAAAGAGGATAGGGCTTTGGGCCCGTGTGAGCTACTATATCGACCATAACAGCATGAACCCATTGTTGAAGCTCTAAGGTGTGGGGGATCTGGCATTGGGGAAGAGGTCGAGAGGCGGCTAAAGAGATCTCGGCGAGTACTCTCAAGTTGAAGGTTTTACGCTTGGGAGGCTCGGGTTCAAGAGGAGTCTGAAGAGCAATTCACTGCCAGGTTCTCAGTTCGTTCAGCTTGTGCCAGATTGGCTTTCGATTAGCACCATCTATAAAACGGATGTTTGCGGCTTGCGGCTTTGGATTCGTAACTTCTGCTTTTGCAAACTTCAGCTCCGGGGACGTCGTCAATTTGTGCAGCCAGGGATGCCCCAGACCCTGCCGTGAGGGGTTGGCCTACGAACACAGTCGGGCTCACAGGATGTGTTTTCGAGTTTAGTGTTCGCACGAGGTGCATGTGAAACTCTAGATCCAGTTCTGAGCCCACAGAACTCGAAGCTCAGGAGAGACCGTAATTTGCATCTAGGGCGCAGCGTGAAGTCCAGTGCATCCACCTGCCCATAGATTGTGGGCTTGTGGGGGCTGGGTCTGTCGAAGCTTCACGGGGCACCAAAGGGGCATGCTTCGGGGGGATGAAACAACCGTATGGAAGACCGTCGGAAGGATCTGATATCCTGAAAATCATGCCCAGTTACATGCCCAATTCTGGGCTACCTTCGAAGTTATCTGGCTTTAATATAGCTTCCGCTCCTCCAGCCCGTCTCACGCCTCAGAACTGAATGATGATATCGACTCTGTTTCCGACCTCAACACCCTGAACTTACGACTCTGGACTCCGTGTAATAATGTGCGCCATGATGCTCAGCGCCCTCCTCCTCATCATCTTCTTCATCAGAGTCGTGATGATGGTGCAGCAAAACTATAACTATAACAACTCCGGCTGTGGTAATGCATGATAAACTGAGAAGCTGCAATAACAACAGCAGGAACAATCGAATCACACTCACCAGAAAGCAACACTCACCGTAGTTGATAACCTGCCCACACAAACATAGCATGTATGTACTTGTGCGTCTTCGTACATGCTTAGTGTCTGATATCTGTCGACATCGAACATAGGTGCCTCGTTAATAGAACAGGGTTTTGTGGTATGTTGTAGTATATAAACAGCTATATGACGAACCCTAGCAAACCATATTGGTAATTCGAGATTAAACAAAAGCAACCAGCCTCAGGTGCTCCTCCATCAGGCTCGTTGGACCTGAGCGACATGGTCTTCGACTATAGGGTTTGGGGTCAATAGAGGGGCCTCAAATAGATAGAATGGGCCTTTGGGTACAATATACTGTAATTAGATAATAAGGAACTCCCAAATGGTTTTGGTAAATATGTAGGCACTGAGATTACTTCCCCTGCAACGATTTTAGCCCATCCCATGCACACACACACACACACACGTCTCTGCTCGAGTACTGCGTCTCTCTGCTTGTTCAAGTTCGCACCCATTTCGTAACGATCTTCGGAAGATAAACTCAATATCCTAATTTGCAAAGAAGGTCCCGGGTCGCCGGGCAGCTTCTCCGTGATCAACTTCAGGGTGTCTTGATCCACCTGCCAGATTCTTCAAACTCGAGGATCGGGGGATCAAAGAGAAGGCCGGGCTGTGTTAGTATGCTTTAAAGGATTCAGGATTGACCTTCTTCTAAGCAAAAATCAGCAGAACCTCCAGACCATTGTCCTGGCCGAAACTCATACAAGAGAGATCCCGAGAAAGTTCCTTAGCCTTCGATCCGCTTCGATGGATTTGCTTCTCAAGCACAACTTCGAAGACCCCACAAAACCTGCCCCCCATTCGAAATCGATCCTTCAACCCTGAACCCTAAACCTCTAAACCTGATTCCGGAAACCCTAACCGCGGGCCTGCTCCACGGCCGGGAAGGTACCAGGCTCCGCGTCCTCAGCCGAGCTCGCTCTCCACTTCGGGGGGGGGCGCCGGATGTTCCCTAGGGGGTACCATAACCCAAGCTTGGGGTTCACAGTTTGGAGTTGAAGTTCATCGTCATGTCTCTTCCCGTCTTCTTGGCTTCCACGCATCATCTTCGACGAAGGGCCGGATGCGGCAAATGACCTTCACACCACCTCGAACTGCCTCCGCCAGGGATACAAGGCTTTGCGGGTGTCTCCGTTCCGTCTATAGCTCTGTCTCTTCCCCTTCTCGCTCTCTCTCTCGTTCTCTCTTGCTTGCTGGCTGGCCTTCTTCTCTCCTCAGACTTGAGGAATCTTGAGGAGAGTGCCATGCACTGTCTCTCGAGATCCACATCCATCTATCCGTTCATCCCTTTATCCTTTGATCCTCTTCTCACTCTCCATCCAGGCCAAGTTCAGCCGCCCAGCCCAGACAATCCAAGCCACCCATCTTTCGGTTTCGGGCATTCTATTCATTCTATTGAACTTCACATAGACCCGCACATACATACACATATATAGGTCGGTTCCGACACACGTTTATTTGCATGCGCGCGTACATGCAACTACAACGTGCAACCCCTGATATGCCTGAAAACCTTACGTATAGGTACAGAAGATCGACCGCCCATTGTCCAGGCTCGCATTTGAAGGGCCTCCAGGGAACGGCACCTCTATCAGTTCGGGCAAGATTTGCGGCTCAGGGTTGCTTGGGATCCTTCTGGGCTTCGTCAGGCGTTAAAGACTCAAGTAGCTAAGCTAAACCCGGAGAGTTTTTCTTACGTGCATCTATCTGAATCTATCTATCTCTCTCGCTCTCTCTCTATCTCTCGATCCCTCGATCTCTCGATCTGTCTATCTATCTATCTGCCTATCTATCTATCTACCAATATTTATGTATCTACATCAATCAATCAGTGTATATATATACTGTTTGATTGCAGCCAAAGGGATGGTCGGCCTGGACCTTGTCATGCAGCTCGCGTCGGATCTGCTCTACATCCTGGTAAGGGTTCAGGATTTGGGGGCTGGGTGGGTGTATTTGGCGCTTTAAGGCTTAAGCCTAGGCTGTAGAGCGCCACGGTTCAGGGTTCGGGGCTACATGCACACGGTATAGGATCAGACCGTGCCGAAGATGTGCAAAAGATAAAGGGGAAGCCAGGGCAAAGTTGGAGGAGCATAATATAGAAGCCGGGACAGTCACGAATATTATTCCACAGGGTTCCTTATTGTAATTGTATTGTACAGGAGTATACCCAAAAACCTATTCTAACTATGAAGGCCCCTATGTAACAGCCCCGAGAATCTCATTATAGCCTCCGGGCAGGCTTGGTTTGCATCGTGTCCTGCATGCATGGTCAGTACCGTGATTGTCATCCGGCTGCGAAGTTCGCCAAGACAGTCAACTAGCGATAAACCCTCTTTGATGCTGCATCCATGATGGCTTTCAGGACCTGAAGATTTTCCTGTCTTCTGGCCTTGCCTCCAGCATGAGGTTGCTGATGCCGTGGTCGCCAGCGATTTTCGCAACCTGAGGCTTGCGGTGCTCGGTTCCACACTTTCAAAACTTAAGCTCGACGGTATCTCGCTGGTGCATTCAACCTCCTGCCATGAGGAAAGGAATCTTTGTAATTAATGGTCTGACGGTCACCAGACGAGAGGAGATTACTCCAACTAAGGCCGAGTGTTCACAACCTCCAAGCTCCGAAAAGCAAGCCCCCTGTAGTAGAATACGACGAGCATCTTCAGCTTAAACCGCGCATCCCGATTGAAGTAAACTACTCCAGCCTACATAACTCAGACATCCACTTACTCCACATCCGTATGGAAGCGCCCAAACCCCTCAACATGGGGGCACTCCAGATTCTTGAAACTCAGTTTCACTGAACAATAACAATGGTCCTGATCCTGATACTAAAGATTATCATGGTAAGCATAGTTGCCCTAATCACGCAGTAGAGGATCCGTCCACTGAAGCCAGAGCCCGAACCGTGCTACACATGAAACCACACAATGCCCTAAGCACCCGCACCCGGAAGAGCCGCAGTAAGTCAAACCAAGCCTCCTCCAGCCCATCCCGGTCTACACCCTACCCTACCGAATTCCGAAGCCGGAAACCCTAAACCCAAGATCTCAAACACGGCCGGCTACCTTGGCCATCTCCTCTGTCAGCTGCGCGAGCGCCTGCAGCAAGAGCTGCGGTGCGATGCCAAGGCGCCGGCCTTGGAAACTTTTGGGACTGGGGTTTACAGTAGAGGTTTGGGTTTGGTTTGGGGTTTTGGGTCTTGGGGATTCCCGGACATGAGTCTGTAACTGTACTGGTATGCAAAGTTGCATACGAGTGTACAAGCCAGGATCTTATACGATTCCTATGTCAAAGGATATTGGTTTGGCATTGGCAGAGGCCCGAGCGGGGATTACAACTATATAATATAGACTGGGATGACCGTGAGCTCTTTGGATTTAAGCCGCTGCACGGCTCTGTGGTGAAGCTTTTTCGGTAGGGCAAGACTTAATATGGTTCAAGTTTTGGTGTAGCGGAGACCTTTTGATAATTTGTCGGTCTCAGTCTTCAATGCAGCCACAACGAGCCTAAAGACGACGATGGTGAGACGGATGATTCTGGTCGCATTTGCTGATGTTGTCGCTTGCTGTGCATGGTCGATACCACTCAAATCACTACTACAATTCTTGCCGTTCGGTGCTCTTCCGTTTTGTGTTTGCTCCGCTTAGTCTTACGTCATCGTCGTCGTCGCAACCGAAACCTTCGCACAGGAACTACACACTTCTCTTGCTTACTTTAATCTGCAAACGTTGGCCTACTCTTGACTTGAGCCTTCGCAGAGGCCTCAATGCCAAGCAAGGCGAAGACTTTGCTGACTGTGCTACTTGATGCGGCCTGTTGCAACATCAGAGTCAGCTTGCTCTGAGGCCATCAAGATACATGAGGCGGCGAAAGCCTGAAACCAACATATCTGCTCCATTCCTCGCGCCTTCTGAACAGCCTATCTCTTTCATTGCGACACTTGCCGGCGCTTAGGATCTGAAGCAGCCAGGGCGTGATGCTGCTCATGCCCTGGTTGCGCCAATTGTTTGCACCTCGCTGGCTACTTATCGGTTGGCCACTCATCTTTGGCGCCTTGACAAGTGTGTGCCAAGGATCCTCACTGCACTCCCAAGCCCACCGATTGAACTCTTTTTGGTGCTGGTCGCGTTGTGCAGGGCTGAGGACGGTCTTGGGTTCAGGCCCCCTGTTTTTGCAAAAGATTCACTTCTGAAAGCAAGTCAAGTCGTCGAAATGGTCGCGGAAACCCCACAATCTGCACAGGATAATACATGCCACCAAAGATGCGCTCTTCAAAAGACCATTGCCGGACCAGCTTGATCAAAGACCAAAATCTGACTTCTCAGCCCCCAGCATTTCTTGATGGCTTGTGCCTCGGGATCGTTGCATGAGGGTGCCCTTTTGCGGCCCATGAAGCTGGAGAGTGCGCGAACGAAGGCGTCATCACAGGGTTTGGGATTTAGCGTATGATCAGCATCATGTTGATGATGGTGTTGAGCACGATGATCATCAGCATCATCGCCATCACCCTCTTCATCATACTCAACTTAGCAGTACATCAGCACTGCCGTCGTAAGGAGAACGGTCTAAAATTCCTGAAGCTTGTGCAGCCACAGTGAAATGAGACTGCTTCTGACCAGGATTTCGGCTTCATTTCAAGCCCTGATTATCGGATTCGGCAAACAGGTTGAAGACAGAACAATTCAGATGAAGCACCATGCGCAGTCAGACTCCTCCTGCCACACATGCACTGCGACTGCGTCACCTGCTCTGCAACTGGAGTCTCAATGCAAACCGACTCAGTAGAGTTGCCTTTTGAACCCGTTGGAAATGCAAAGCGACTGCGGCATCCTCAAGCCTGCAGATGCATCTTGCACTTGAGGCCCCTCGGGGCCCCTGCCAGTGCCGAGGCGTTGCGCTCTGCTCCCGCCCGCCGCACTTCCTCCAAAGCCGACCTCGACTTCCAGGTTGAAGGTGGCTCTTGGCTTCATGAAATGGCTCAAAGTGCAATTGGGTTATGATATGTTACACCATTACAGCATACGTAACTGTGACATATTCAGTATTGATATAGGTTTCGCTTTTGCACTATACTGTATTATGCACATTTGACATGAAGCTTTGGAAGTTTACAGTAGAATCTACGTAGAAGTTTTTGGAACTAGGCTTTACAGCATCTAAAGACAGGGAAGCAGCCCATGGAAAACCGGAAATCCTGTACCGTTTTTCGACACATGGCATGCTGGCAGCAAGGGTCTCCTGCGGTGTAACGCTTACATTTGATTACGTACGTTGTTTCCTGATAGTGAGCATCCACACTGCTGCTACTCTGAGTCTTGCTTTGAGCATCGCTCGTGAGCATCATCGTTACCTTGAATGGTCTCGCTGGCACCGTTGCTTTCATCATGATGAAGCTCTAGGCCAGCGACTTCTGCTAGGGCAGTTCAGCGCTTCACGAACGAAGAAGTCAGAGGACAACACTTCAACGAGCCAGCTCTAGTCTGGTGAGAGCTGAATCACAGGAATCTCCTCCAGCCGGTAGAGTCAAGCCTTCATCGACCTCCGAACTGCACAGAGCCTCCAGACGAATTCGACAGGAGTACTACGATCTTTTCCTCCACGCCACAGACTACTTAATCAATCGACTACTGTCTGGATGAGGCCTGGGAACCCACGACCAAACCCCGGCGGAGAGCCATGGAGGCTGCAAACCCTGGATGTCGCAGCACTTGAAGAACAAAGAACAAGGCAGGCAAGCAGTTAGTTCTAACAAACACGACGTCATCATCAGCATCACAAGTCTCAGCAGCATCAATGTCATCATCAAGATCATCATCATCATCATCATCATACTGATAGAGTGAGTATGCTGCTCAGAGTACGGCTACTGCTAGTGGTACGGCTACTGCCACTGATGCTACAGCTATCATCGCCAATGAACCACACCAAACCCGAAACCCCAAACCCTTCACAGTCATCCCCAAGGCGCGAGCTCGCGAACCTCCTCGGAGTCCAAGAGGTCCTGCAAGGAGTCGGGCTCGGAGCTTTTAGGGTGTAGGGCTTGGGGTTTAGAGTTTAGGGCTTGGGGTTAGGAGCTCTAGGGTTTAGGACCCAGGACTAGGTTTGGGGGTACTTTGGGTTGGGACATCTCCACAACTCTAGCCAAAAGCTTAGGCTACATGAGCTGTATAACTCACACAAATGCTACGAGGCTAACAACATGAAGTTTGCAGTGATGTGCCTGTCACTGTTTCACACGTCTCTTGAACCATTCTTGCGTATATTAGTTATTGAAGACCTTCTGCTCCCTCTGCTTCCTTTGTGCATAGTGTCGCACATGCAGCTGCTACTGCAGCTGCGAGCTTTCTTGCTGCTGTCGCTGTTGCTGCTGATGTCCATGTTGTTGCCAGTTTTTGCTGTTGTCTATTTTCGGGAAGGCTGCTAGTGTTGCTGTTCTGTTGCCGTTGCGGTTGCTGCACCTGCCGGTGCTCATGTCGGTGATGGTGCGTCTGCAAAAGATCTTGTCGTTATAGTTGTCGTTGTAGCTGATTCAGCTGTTGTTTTGGTGGAACTAATGGTTCCAGGCTTGCTTTGGGTTCGCCGATCATTTCTAGTATGCGTACTGCTACTGGAAGGTTTCATTGGCAACTGGTGCCATTCAAGTCTGCCTGCATCTACTGACAATGGTTGTGTTATTCTTCGCTAGTCTGGCTCGTCATGGGAACTGTCACTTAATATAGTCCTTGCTGTGTTGACTCTTGTCAAGACCGGTGTTACTTGCATGCTATCACTTTGAATGGACTATAAAGCAGATGTGTCACAAGTCTCGGTGCAACACAGACTGTAAATTTAAATATTAACTAAGGCCAGTCTGGCCGCTCTTCTTACTGGTGCTGTAGTAGCATCATGACCATGAAGGGCAGCCTGACTAGCATCCAATGCCCTCGACCAAACTGACCAAAAACAGGTGTGCAGCTGTGGTTGCCATCGGTTCTTCCAGTTGTTGTATGGCGTTATTGTTGCTGGGGGTGGTGTGTCGTCGTCGTAGTAGTACTGAAAACTCTCACAGTGCCCCGTGTGCAAAAATATTGATCATAATGGTAGTACAGCGGTAAGTTGGCTTGGCGGCTCTAGTTCTAGGATTTCATATTGTCCGATTGGATGCTTCTTGCGGAGCGTTTCGCTCCATGATCATCTTCATAAAGGCTCTGCAAGCAAGCTTGCCGTCAAACCCATGTAACTGTACTGGGATCCCTTCCTTCAGAAGGAATATCGCGAGAGTCTCCAACGCAAGATAACCCCCTGCGACCAGGATGCCCAGCAAACTGTGAACAAGGCAACTCTTTTTGTCTTTAGCGAAGGCTGCCGCATTTGAAGCGATTCTCTTCGTCTGGGAACCTGCCTGAATTGAATCGGAGTGGCCACAGGTCCGGTCGGTCTTTGAAGGTAGCGCACAGATAGGATTACTACAAGCAGGAGGACAAAGGCTATGATGGTTAAGGATGGTAAACAGCCTGGAGCATGATGCCCAGCACGATGGATGCATTGAAGATGGTTATGCCGCAATCAGCATACTGCTACCCCTAACTTGCCGAACAGTATGCTCTATTCATCCTGATAAGCTCCGGTAGCCCTATCAATCGTGCAATCACCGTCACCTTGCCACCGCATCACTGCGCATCACAACTCCATTACAACTGCAGGCATCCTTATAGAGACACCATCACCAGCATCATCATCACCATCGTCATCGACATCACCAGCATCGTCATCATCATGATCATTCACATCCTCATCTCAGCACCAGCATCCCTCACACTAGTCGACAATCCCTCATCATCTTCACCATCATCACTGTGATGTGTCCATGATCATCATCAACATCATCAGTAAGTATCATCATCACCTCCATCATCGTCACTGTTTACACCATGGCCTTCATCATCATGACCCTGATCAGCCTCATCATCACCAGTAGCAGCAACATCAACCGCACACCGACAACGCCGCCACCGCCCCCAGCACCACCCACCACCACCCGAAACCACCGCAGCGTCACCGCGATATGGCCGACGCCGCCATTCCAACGTCAGCCTAAATATCAACATAACCATCATCATCCTCATCATCGTCATCTTCACTGTCATAGTCATGCCATGTCAGGCTCCTCCCCATTCCCTCCTGCGGTGGTTGGTCGTCCTCGTCGACAACAGCATCGTCATCACCGCCAACACGACCATCTTCTTCATCGTCGTCGTCATGTTCTGCCGTCACCCAGCATCGACAGCTCGAGGTGGAAGCCCCGAGGTCCTTCCCCGTGTCTGAGAAGCACTACAAGCAGTACATGTTTCGAAGCCATGCAACTCCCTAGCTCTTGAATCCGCATGTCAATTAACATGAGCATGAGAGTTTTCGACAACTTGTACATCGCCAGTCTCTTCAGAGGAAGCTGGTTTCACCACGACCTGTATGCTGTGTTCTTATTCAGGATTACTGGATAGTAACAGTAATCGCGGCATGTGGCCACAGCCGTACCTGCAAGGCAGGCGCTATGTGGGACAACTCGATCTCGATGCATCGTGCACAGTGATTGGAGGTTCCGACACGGACTAGGACCACCAACTTCCCAACCTGAAATTTAAAATTCAGGACTTTGTGGCAACGAAGAGACCTGGCATCGCAACAGCCACTAACGCCAAAAGCGCCATAGAAGCGAGCACAATGAACCTATGACCCCAAGCACGGTGAAGGTAGAAGGATGACGATGATGTTATCCATTTCTCATGAAAAACCTAACCGTAAGATACAAGAGGCCTTGCTGAGCAAATCTCCCTTCAAAGTACTGGGTTTACGGTATGACGCTTCACCCTTGAAGGTGGGGATTTCAAACTCTCTTCGAGGGTTAAGGTTAAGGCTGGTCCAGGTGATGATGAGTTGTGACGACTGCTCCGGAAGCTGAGAATATCTCCCTGCAAACTCCTTACAATGATTTACAATGACAAGTAGCCCAAAATTCGCCGACGGCGGACACGAGGATAATGATCGTCATGGCTATTCTTCGCATCACCCCTTTAAGCGCTGGGCGACTCCTTCTCATGACTTCTACATGTCCTCCGACTCTATGTCAGCACGGCTCCGACGCTGTTTGCGGCTGAGGGCGTCTTTTGGAGTCTGAGGCCAGGGGGACCCGACATGACCCCCCATATGACCACCATGTGTTGATCATCACTGAATCATCCGTGTAATTGTCATCACCACCATCACCAGTGCCAAGATAGCTATTGCCTAGCTGCTGTGGTTCCGTTTTCTGGATCTCCGAGCCCCGTCTATTGAGACCGAAACCGTCGTGTCGGGACCTCGAACCTGGACGCGG